AACGTCATGTTGAACCATGTTTCTTTTTACATTACACCTTTCAATAATATAAACACATAGTGGCTATTCACCATACTTTTTTGTTGAATCCCATTGTATATGAGAATATTATATTCATTTGATGAAAGTTTTCTATGAGAAAATATGTGTAATATTGAGATTCAAGTCAACATCAATTAATGAAAACAAATTCTATGTAATGTAATTTTTAAATGATTTATTTTGTTTTATCATATATACGACAATTTTCGATCTTTAAACGATCATTTTCAACCTATACCAAGACGAATAACAGATGAAAAACAAACGAAAAGACAACAAGAAAAATACAGAATAGTGATGAAATATGTAAATATATACACACCACACAATCATAGACATTATAATCTTAAATATCATAACCTCTAGAATACAATATAAATTGTTTGTAATTATCATAAACATTATATACTACAATAAACCGCAGATAGTACTAGAATTTAAGGGTGTGGGTCAGTGGCGTACGCAGGAATTCCGCAAGGGGGGGGGGGGGGGCATTTCTATAAAAACCAAAGCGTGACGAAAAAGAATTTTCTATCCATTCTTTCCAAGGTATTTAGTACTCATGCATTGACTTCCACAAAGGTGACACGACACATGCTTCTTTCTTACTTATCTTTCATCAATCATCATGTTTATATTCATAATCGAATAAAATACAACAATATCACATAAAAAACATTATCATGAAAAAAAAGAATATCAAAACCAAAAAGCAATATCACAAAAAGAAGAGTATCATGAAAAAAGAACATCATGAGAAAAAAAAAACAATATCACGAAAAAACCAATAAAGATAGAACTATCAACAATCAATTTTTTTATGTCACTCTTCAAATAGTTTGATTCGTCGATTTCGCTTGACGAATTCAGCGACGATATCTTGTGGATCAGTTGTCAATGTAGTACTTTTGTGAATGTGTAGAAAAGCCAGAGCAATAAGTCGTTCATCAGCCATAGAGTTCCTGAGATAAGTTTTCACGAGCTTCAAAATAGAAAAAGATCGCTCAGGAGTGGCGATAGAGACTGGCAGAGTAGCAAAGATAGTGAGAAGACGATAAATATTTGGATAAAAGTCACGTTGTGTATATGTTGATTTGAGAACTTGACCAATAGTACATGGAAGATCATGATCATTACGTTTTCGCCACATGTTTCGCCACATCTCAAACTCACTTTTGAGCATAAAAAAGTTGTCCGACATCAGATCTTCCTTGTAAAATTCGAATGTATCCTTCATATCGGCGAAATCGACTTGCTTAACATGAAGAGGCATTAATTTGGAGATTTTTACGGCAAGCTTCTGATGTGTAGAAAATCGTGGACCCAATTCATCGATTGTGCTTGAAATAAAAATTTGATGAATTGATTCGAAGAATGTACGTGGTGTTATTTTCTTTCGACGCGAAAGTACAAATGGAATATCATGTTGAGCAGCAAATTGAATTAAATCGTCGTGTAATTTATCCATATGATCATCATTCAAGAATTGGATGTGGGGGTGTGGGTGTGGGTGGTGGGTGTGGGTGGGTGTGGTGTGGGTGTGGGTGAGGGCATGGGTGAGGGTGTGGGTGTGGGTGGTGGGTGGCGGTGCGGATAATAAGAACAGGGACAGCCACAATGATACCCACGCCCACACCCACACCCGCACCCGCACCCATACCCACACACCCACGCACACCCACACCCACACCCACACCCACACCCCACACCCACACCCCACACCCACACCCACACCACACCCTTTAAATGAAGATCTTTATAAATTCTTTTCCCACATTGATGTTTAAATTATAATTTCATAAATAACTTGATAGTTTGACAAGATTTATTCCGAATATAATTAGCTAACATATATTCAACCTCGCTCGTGATTTATATTAATCAAATTAATTTCTTGGTCTACAGACAACGAATAATAAAAGTATTTATTGTTTCTCGATATGAGAATAAAATATTAGCTAGTCGTTCTCTTTTACAAAGTAACTTGATATTAATTCTACAGTTCCATGCTGCCAATTTTTAGCAAAGAGTAATGAGTTGAACAGTTCTATCAGATAACGAAAATCATTCCATCATATTCAAAGCAAGCAAACCAGATAACACTGTAATGCCAAGACGATTCATGGCATGAGCCTAAATGAACTAGAATGATCTCAACTGACATCCAAAAATCCGCTTGAAAGAGCCTAAACCTAATGGGACCAGCGCTAGCTTTCAAACCGACGAGAACAGTTACCACACTTAGATCTTAGCTGAAAAAGCCGAGTAGCGGTAACAACAATAAAACAAGATGATTTTTGGAGTCTTATGAATCGAGAATAATTTCTTTTAGTATGCTTTAATACTCATTTACAATATCGTATACCTGAAACGAATAATGAATGTAGCCATTTGGTATCATGCAGATCGCTATTCAAAAAAAAATCGATTTATCTCAATCATTGTTCAACTATTTTACATCGAAAAACAAAAAAAAACCTTTTTCACGAGTCTGTATTAAAATCTAAAAAACCTTTATTTCTAGAGTTTTTATAAAAATGGTGAGAGCCTTGAGATAGTGATCCGAATTATTCCAGTTAAGGTAATTCGAATCCTTTCAGCAATTTCAGCTGGAGAGAACTTTGAAAACCTCTAGTATTTTTCGAGTAGGTTTTCAAACATTGTTCCTCAGACAAGAAAATATTCGTCTCATTTTACTCTATTTTCTCGTGTGAAATGAGGCAAACATAAACTAATTTGATCGATTTTCAATCGAAATAATGAAACCTAAACAAAAAGAACATGTTTTTCTCGAGTCATCCTTCCTATCTTTGGATGAATATTTCATTTTTATGAAAAGTCTCACGAAACAAAAAAACTCGATGAAAAATAAACTACTCTCTCTTGATAAAAAAAAATAGAAATTTGAAACCATCTATTAATTCTCTGAAAATAGAAAATTCTATTGTGTCGATGAGAATAAAAATACCAATAGTATAATCATTAATTTATGTAGTTCTATAGTATATGTCTCTCTTTCATTAGTACGTAGATTAACTGTACATACATTTTTTAATGAATATGACTTTGACTATTTCAATGAAAGATATAATAATTCTGCCTCATATATTCATTATGTTATACGTATTTCTTACGTCTTGTCCACAGAAAAGGATACTTGATCTTATGTGGGACACATTTCTGGATGTCTAAACACTTACGATCAACATGTACTTTTATTTTTTACACAAAATGAGTTGAATCAATTAGTTTGATGTAAATATAGTTTTATAATAATTGAAGATTACAATATACGAGTAGATTATTTTGTTTGTGATATACTTATAGTATATTTTTCATAGAAAATGAATATTCTGAAGCAAGTCAAAATAATTTCAATTCAACATTATACTGACAATCTTTATTATGATGATATTAAGAATGCTATAGATTTTTTTATTTTACAATAAAGCATGTCCTTCGGACCATTTTTCACGGCGATATTGCTTTGTTTTTTTGACTTAGTTACATCTAACTATACAATCATTCGAGATCATGAATATTTGACATATGGAAATCATAGTTTATTAAATACATGTAGAATTATTCTATAAATAGTTATTTAAAATGAAAAGTCTTATCGATAAATTTTATGTGTCAGAATAAACTAGTGCTAATTATTTTCAGTTTTTTTTTCTTTTTGAAATCGAATCTACTTTTCATTCGTATATTTATAAATACTTCTTAGAAAATAGATTGATTTACACGAAAGAAACACTATTACATAATTACATTATCTTCTAAGATAATATTTATAGAAATATCATGACATTTGTCGATCTCTATAAGAGATAGTTCTAGTTAATGAAAATTGTTCAAAGTTCTCTGCATATTGTTTTATTTTTCTTTGATTAATAATAGGATTTCAACAATAAAAAAGAAATCTTATGTTTCAAGATCAGTCAGTAATCATCATAATTAATATACTCGAATGATGATAACATACAATACAATAGTCATCTATGTTCTAGATTTTTTTTTTGTTTTTACGAAAAGAAATTATTTTCCTAACTCATTTCCCTATTATGAATTTTTGTCTTTGCTTATAAAACTTTTCTAAATCTCAAAAATATAAAATATCCTTGAAATATCGATGGCAAACGAAAGAAATTTTAAAGAAATGTTTTATTCTTATTTTTTCTTCAAAAAATACCTTTTTTTATCATTTCGATGATAGTTGTTGTTTTAATTTATTTTTCTATCTTCTCATGTTATAGCATTTTATTTTTCAAAATATCTTCTACGAAATGAAACTGATTGATTGATGAAATCCTAGCAAAACGAAAAACAAAACTAATTGACGTTTCTCTATAAGTGGGGGCAGTCGAAGAAGTATTTATTTATCGATAAATTCAAAATATAATGATTTCGTAATATAAAATGTTCTTGTCTCAAAAATGAATTTTTCGAATTAGTAGTTTTTTTTTATTCACTCTGCCTTACATACTTTCTTTTGATAGATAAAAGGAAACGTACAATTGTATGAGTAACTTAACCTTGTTTTTCTTTTTAAATTTCAAAAGAAAGAGAAAATGTAATCAGAAAATTTTATAATTTATTAGATGATATCTATAGAAAGTAATTATTAGTTATTGCCTTTCTTTTCTGTTTTATAAAGGATTTAAACATTTCTTAGTTTCACGTACATTACCAAACTTCCAGTGTACTTTATGAAATTCCTATGAAACTTAATAATGATAATTTTTCGAGTCAAAAATTGATCACTGAATCGAAAAAGTTTTTCATATGGTTCATCTTGATATAAGGATTCAAGATAAGTTAATTCATCAACT